CTATGTGGACTGTGTCTCAATTATTCCCACACCTCCATGCCAGGCAATTGTGTTTGCTCAATTTTATGATCACATTAATAAACTTTTCCCAGCTGACATGTTACTTCAGTTTACACAGTGCATTTATCCTTTTTCACCAAAACAATGGCAAAAGATCCCATAAAAGATACTTTGTTAACTTCCACTGATGGCTCATCTAATGGGAGGATAGCATATGTGGTTAATGGTAAAGGACATGCCATCCAGACAGAACCAGCTTCAGCTCAAATTGTTTAGCTTCAAGCTGTAGCTTTAGTGTTTAAATATATTGAAGAAGATTATTTTAAGTTGATCTTGTATCCTGACACATCACTGAAGGTATTTATAAGCAGTAGGAGTTCTCTGGTAGAGGTTTGGGGTCACTTATGTACACTATCATATCATCTTCAAATAACAAAAGACTGACATTTTCCCTTTCCAGTTTGAATCCCCTTGATCTTATGTTGTCTTATTGCTATTGCTAGAACTTCAAGCATCATGTGGAAGGGATATGGAGAGAGTGGACAGCCTTGTCTTATTCCTGATTTTAGTGGAATCACTTTGGTTTTCTCTCCATTTAATTTATTATTAGCTGTCTCCTTGAGTTATATTGCTTTTAGATATGATGCCTGTATCCCCAATCTCTCCAATATTTTTATCATAAAGGGGTGTTGAATTTTGTCAATTTTTTTTGGCAAAAGGAAATGATCATATTTTTTTTTTCTTTCAGTTTATTTATATGATGGATTACATTGATAGATTTTCATATGTTGAACCAGGCCTTTATCTCTGGAATGAAGCCTATTTGATCATAAAGGTTGATTTTTTTGTTGTGTTCTTGGATTTGGTTTGCCAGTATTTTATTGAGAATTTTTGCATCAATGTTCATGAGTGAGGTTGGCCTGTAATTCTCTTTCTTGTTTGAGTCTTTGTGTGGTTTTGTATCAGTGTAACTGTAGCTTCATAAAAAAAGAGTTTTGCAATGACCCTTCTGTTTCTTTTATGTGGAACACATTGAGGAGTATAGGTATTAGCTCTTCTTGGAAGTTCTCATAGAATTCTGTGCGGCAAACTCCCTGACCAGCAGGAAGGAACAGCCACCAGACGAGGATTCTTCCCAAATCATGCTTTATTGGAGCCTCTTAGTTGAAGGGAGAGCAGAAAGCAAGGGGCCCAGAGCGCTGAGCTGTAGCTGTTTATATAGGGAGTCTGCCTAGCAACCTTTGATACTTTGATACTTTAACTGCTTTTCTGGAGACCCACCGGCAAGAAAGAAAGCAGGGGAACATCCCTGTCAATTAAAGACCACAAGGAAGTTCCCCTGCCTGTCAGGGGAAGTGTGGGCAGCTAGATCGCAACAACTCATCCTGTTTTCTGGTGGAAGAACTGAAACCTTTATTATGGTATCAAGCGAGGCAGGGGCCAAATGCCATCTTGTAATGACAGCCACTCAAATCGGCTCCCAGCAATTCTGCACTAAAACGATCCAGCCCTGTGCTTCTTTTGTGAGGTTTTGATTACAGCTTCTATTTCCTCATGACTTCTATTTCCTTCCATTTTTTAAAATATTTTTTTTTAATTTTGTGGAGTATAGGCTTTGGTCGTAAATCCTAATGATTTTCTGAATTTCCTCAGTGTCCGTGGTTATGTCCCTCCTTTCTTTTCTGATTTTGTTAATTTGGGAATTTTCTCTTTGCCTTTTGATTAGTTTGGGTAAGGGTTTATCAATCCTGTTGATTTTCTCAAAGACCCAGCTCTTTGTTTCACTGAGTCTTTGTGTTGTTTTCTGTATTTATATTTTGTTAAATTCAGCCATCAGTTTATTTCCCATCTTCTATTTCTCCTGCGTGAGTCTGCCTCTTTTTTTCTAGAGCTTTCAGGTGTGCTGTTATGTCTCTAATGTCAGCTTTCTCCATTTTCTTAACATGGTCATTTAGTGCTATGAACTTTCCTCTTACCACTGCTTTCATAAAGTCCCATAGATTTGAATGTGTTGTGTTTTCATTTTCCCTGACTTCAAGGAAGATTTTAATAATTTTCTTTATTTTTTCCTTGTCCCAGGGGTGGTTCAGTAGTTGACTGTTCAGTTTCCATGAGTTTCTGGGCTTTATAGGGTTAGTATTGTTGTTAAATTCTAACTTTATTCCATGGTGATCTGTGGATGTTTCCTTTGTTACTGAGTATGTGATGAATTTTAAAGAAGGTTGCATGAGGTTCTGAGAAGAAGGTATATTATATTTTGTTTGTGGAGCAATCCTACCATGGGCAATCTGTAGATTCAATGCAATCCCCATCAAAATCTCAAGAGAATTCTTCACAGACCTTGAGAGAACCAACTTTATATGGAAAAAAAAAAAAAGAAACCCAGGATGGTCAAAACAATGCTATACAATAAAGGAACTTCCAGAGGCATTACCATCCCTGACATCAAACTCTATTACAGAGCTACAGTAATGAAAACAGCTTGATACTGGCAGAAAATTAGAAACATTGTCCAATGGAGTCATATTGAAGACCCAGATATCAATCCACACACCTATGAACACCTGATTTTTGACAAAGGAGCTAAAATTATACAATGGAAGAAAGAAAGCATCTCAAACAAATGATGCTGGCATAACTGGATGTCAACTTATAGAAGAATGAAAATAGATCCACATCTATCATCATGAATAAAACTCAAATCCAAATGGATTAAAGACCTCCAACCACACTGAATCTGATAGAAGAGAAATTGGGAAGTAGCCTGCAATGCCTGGACACAAGAGACCACTTCCTAAATTTAACCCCAGTAGCACAGACAACAAGAGCAACAATAAATAAATAGGACCTTCTGAAACTGAGAAGCTTCTGTAAAGCAAGGGACACAGGGAATAAGACAAAATACAGCCTACTGAGTGGGAGAAGATCTTCACTAACTGCACATCAGACAAAGGACTGATCTCCAAAATATACAAAGAACTCAAGAAATTAGACATCAAAAGATCACATAATCTAATAAAAAAACTCAATAAGCTAGACATTAAAATTCTAAATAACCCAATTAAAAATGGAGTACTGAACCAAAAAGAGAATTCTCAACAGAAAAATTACAAATGCCCAAAAGATACTTGAGGACATGTTAAACTTCCTTAGCTATAAAGGAATTACAATCAAAACAACTTTGAGATACCACCTTACACCTGTCAGAATGGCTAAAGTGAAAAACACCAATGATAGCTTATGCTGGAGAGGATGTGGAAAAGGGGAATACTCTTCCATTGCGGATGGTAATGCAAACTTGTGCAACCACTTTGGAAATCAGTGTGGTGGTTCCTCAGAAAATTGAGAGTCAACCTATGTTGAAATAAGAGCAGCGGGGCTGCGTCCCCAGTACCCCAGCCGCCTGCTAGCTTATGCCCGAAATAACAACACACAAACTGTATTCATTTAAAGACTGCTTGGCCCATTTCTATCTAGCCTCTTCTAGGCTAATTCTCACATATTAATTTAGCCCATTTCTAATAATGTGTGTAAGCACCCCAAGGTGCGCTTACCGGGAAGATTCTAGCCTATGTCCATCCTGGATCAGAGTTGCTTCATTGTGTGCATCTGCCCGGGAGAGCAGAGCATGCCTCTCTGTCTGAGGCATCTGGCTCTGAGCGGAGCTTTATTACTTCTGACCTCACTTCCTCTTCCTCCCAGCATTCTCTTCTGTTTACTCCACCCACCTAGGTCCTAACCAATAAAATGGGCCAATTCAGTTTCTTTATTAGCCAATGACCTTCCTCCATCAAACCTACTTCCAGATTCATCAATACTACTCTTGGGAATATACCCAAAAGATGACCAATCATGCTACAAAATCATTTGTTCAACTATGCTTATTGCAGCATTATTTGTAATAGTCAGAACCTGGAAACAACCTAGATGTCCCTAACAAAAGAATGGATAAATGAAGTATGGCAATCTACACATTAGGGTACTACTCAGTGTTAAAAAACAATGATTTCGTCCTGCTCCCTGCACTGAAGCTATCCACCCAGAGGGTTTGCCCTTTTGTCTGCAAGGTCCTTGGACCTCCAAGAGTCCCTGTTCCTGTGCTGAGGAGAACCATCCAGACTGGTGAGTGGGTGCCATCCCGGGGTGGGGCAGAACATCTGGGAAAGGAGCATGCCCCTTCAGCTCATGCTGCAGGGGCCTCTTTGTTACAAGACCCTGCCTTCCCCAAGCCTGCCCTATAGTTTGTGAGTTCCTTGGCCAAGGAACAGTTCCTACTCCTATGTTAATCCTAATTATCCATGAACGTGAGAGACTTTTCCATTTTCTCACTTCTTTTCTAATTTATTTCTTCAAATACCTAAAATTGTTGCCATACAGGTATTTTACTTGTATGGTTACAGTTTCCACCAAGTATTTTTATACAATTTTTTGCAATTGTAAAAAAAAATGTTGTATTTCTTATTACTTTCTCAGCTCATTTCTCATTTGCATATAGGAGGATGCTGATTTTTGAATTAATTTTGTATCCATCCACATTACTGAGAGTGTTTATCAGCTGTAAGAGTTCCATGGTAGAATTTTTGGGGTCATTGATGTATGAAATAATATTAGCTGCAAATAGAGAAGGGTTGATTTCTTCCTTCCCAACTGTATCCCCTTAAACTCCTTTTGTAGCCTTCTTGCTTTAGTTAGAACTTTTAGTACTATATTGAATAGATATGGAGGGAGTGGACAGCCTTGTCTTGTTCTTATTTTAGTGGGATCACTTTGAGTTTCTCTCCATTTAAGTTGATGTTGGCTGTGGTCTTGCTTTATATTGCTTTTAGTATGTTTAGCTTTGTTCCTTATATCCCTGATCTCTCCAAGACCTCCATCATGAAGGAATGTTGGATTTTATTACAGGCTCTTTCAGCATTTAAATTATCATGTGTTGTTTGAGTGACTGGATATTACAAGGACCCATGGTAAAGCAGATAACACCAGTCTTAAAAAGTAAAGAAATGTTATGATGAAATGACTCCTGATGGTATGCTGTTATCCTCATACAATAGGGCCTTATTTGGCTATACTCAGAGAAGATCCCTCCTGCTACAGATGGGTACATATGCACAGAGAGGATGGCAAAGACAATTATTAAAACACACAGTTTTAAAGGGGATGTCTGCATTAAATCCCTCTCTTCAGAACACAGAGAACCCTGTGAAAGAGGAAAAAAAAAAACAGTGTAAGAATAAGCAGGGTTGGAGGACATCTGGAAAATGAGGCCCTTTATTTCAAAATAATTTGATTTCAAGGCTTATATTAAATTCTAGAGACAGATGCAACAAGTACAAGGCCACCTTTGGGCTGCACTAGGTCCTTTGTGCATACAGTATATTGCTTAGAATTATATTTTTAGGAGACTCTTGAATGTGTGAATGAGTGGGTCCTAGACTATTGTGCCTGCTAGTGGGGATCTTTGCCTACTTTTGGGTTGCCTGGTCTGTCAGGGTCCAACCACAACATCAACTCTCTCTCTGTAATGGTGAGAAGGCAGGGAAATAATTGAGGCACAGTTCACAAAGCAATAGTGGAAGTGAGTCTCAGGGTTCATTCAAATCCTGAAGATCAACAGTGTTTGTTCTCAAAACAGCTTTTATCTCCCAAGGTAAACTGAAGGAGAAGTTAATTAGCATTCTTTTTCTGGGGTAGCAGGACAAAAGTCACATCTGTAGCTCTGTAACTAGCATGGGATTAACATTTCTTCCCAGGCAGTCCTCATAATTACAAAGAAGAAGCAGAACACCAGCATAACCTGACCTCAGGAGACAGCTAGTTTGAAAGTGCTTTTAACACCTCAGCTGCTATTGTGGCTTGAGATCCTGGCTTCCAAACAATGCAGAAGTATGTGGCATGTATAATATTGACCCACAATTCACTCTCTCTCTCTTAATAATTTTAAAACAAAAACCTGTGCTTCCACAGCAGGACAGAAGATCAGACCTGTATGGGGCAAACACCTGTCCCTTTACCCAAAATGACCTGTCATGGGAAGTCAGGCATATTTGAAACTTACTGTCTCAGGTTTATTGGAAAGGAGAGACTACAAACTCATCATTGACTGCTGATCTCTGTGAAGGAAAGAGATTATGGGAGAGAGATATCTTTGGGCTCTGTGTCTTGGGGATGTACTTTCTTGATAGGATAAATTATAATGCTTTAAAAATAATCATGCTTTCAAAGGCTGTAGTCTCCTATTTAAAGGAGAATTGCCTGAGATGGAAATGCTTTTTCAGCTAGTTTAGAGCTTAAATTTCTTACATTGTACCAACATCTAAAATTCTTAACATATGCATTAAATCCCAATATTTGAAAGGTTTTTCAGACTTTTCTCAGCAGTTATGAACATTATCAGGCTAATAGCATCTTCTCTCAACATCGTATATGCAGTTAAAAATATCATCAAGTCAGTCCCATGATTCTCAGCATTATTGGTCAATACCAACTTTTCTCAACATCTTATATATAGTTACAAATACCAGGTCAATATCGGTAAGAGTACAATGACATTGCTGTTATCAAATACCAGTTCCAGTCTCTGAGCAGCCATTAAAAACTTAGGCCGTCCCCTTTTTTATCTGAGGAGGGGTTTCAATCATTTCTCATTTTGAGTTTTTCTTTCCCTGAGGGAAAAGCTTAGGTCTTATTTCTCAGGTCCAATATTTTAATCAAAATGAGTTCTGTGTCCCATAGATGGTAACAGTCAAACGTTCAGTTTGCATCTCAACTCCAAAGCAAACAGATTTCAAACTGTAGAAAGTTGCAGTCATCATAGTCATCTTAGCAGGGTGCCTTTGTCCGTGTCTGGAATCTCTGCAGGCAGAATGGCACTCTGCAGTGCAGAGTGGCAATAGGGACAGGGAGTCCTGAATCAGGCATTACTTTCTGTGGGAATGGGGAAAGGTGGACCAAGGGTTTCTCCTCAGACTTCTTTTATTTTGTTTCCCCTGCTAGGACATTATCAGCTATGATGTCATCAGGTATGGTATTCTTTTGGTGAATACATCAAATCAGTTTCTCTGGAAGCCATCTCACTAGATCTTTATCCTGGGAAGAAACAAAGACATGCCCTCGACCAGATATTAATATAGGGTCTGGCCCTCTCCATATTCAAGTACAAAGGTACTACCTTGCTTTAGCCAAGTGGTCCTTGTACTATTATGCCACAATCTGTCTGCTGCTGATTTATCATGGACAACCATATTTAGAGAATTTTGTGTTAACAGTGCATAATTTAAGGCATTATGTGGCATCTGAGGATATAATTCTCCTGCTTTTATCTATTATATTGTGTTTTCAAGAATCTATGAACATGCTCCATAATTCCCTGACATTGAGTATTATAAGGAATACGGGTCTTATGTATGATATTCCATTGGGCACAAAATCTTTGAAATGCTCTGTTAACATATCCGGACCCATTGTCCATCTCTATTACTTTTGGGATCCCCATGCATTAGAAGCATTTCAGTCAACTAGTTATTACATGCTTAGAGGATTCCACAATTTCTGCAGTGGCCATCATGAACCCTGAATATGTATTGATTGTCACATGCACATACCTCAATTTTCCAAATTCAGTAACAGGAGTAACATCCATTTGTCATATTTGCCATAATGATTAGGAAGATTTACCCCCAAATGAAGCACAAGTAAATATAATGGGCATTTTTCACATTGCTTAAAATTTGGCGAAGAGCTTCCCTGGTCAATTTAAATGCTTTCTTAAACTTAAACTATTTTGATCTTGCAAAGCATGTCACTGCTGAGAAAGCTCAATCTGAGATAGAGCAATTATTTTTGTAAGTTATTCAGCTAAAGCATTACCTTCAGCTAATGGACCAGGAAGATTTTAATGTGCTCTGATATATCCCACAAAACATGTTAACTTTCTACGATGTATGGGCTCCAGAATCACTGACACTATATCTTAACTTGTTTATTGCTAGTCCCTATAATAAGGAACAGTCTCCAATATCAGAAGAGCATTATGAATATATCAGATGTAAGTATATAGATTAAAAGTCTCATTTGAAAATTGTTTATTACTTTTAAAATAATACCAATCAAAATTCCCATTTCCTCCCCTACTCCCACTTCCCTCCCAGTCCCCCCACACCTCCAGTCCTGAGAGAGGGGAAGGCACCCTGTCCTGTAGGAAGTCCAAGGCCCTCTCTACTACATCCAGGCTGAACAAGGTATGCATCCAAAGAGAATAGCATCGCAAAGAGGCAGTACATGCAATAGAGACAAATCCAAGTGCCATTGTCATTGGCCTCTCAGTCTGCCCAACTGTCAACTACATTCAGAGGGACAAGTTTCATCCCATGCTCATTCATTCCCAGTCCAGCTGTAGTTGGTGAGCTCCCATTAGCTCAGTTACACTGTCTCAGTGGGTTAAACAACCCCTCATTTCCTGACTTCCTTGTTCATATTCTCCCTCTTCTACTCTTCAACTGGACCTTGCAAGCTCAGTCCAGTGATCTGGTGTGGGTCTCTGTTTCTGTCTCTATCATTCACCAGATGAAGGTTCTAGGGTGATATTTAAGATAGTCATCAATCTGATTACAAGACAAGGTCAGTTCAGGTACCCTCTCATCCAAGGTCATAAGGTCCTAACTGGGTTCATCCCTGTGGACTCTGGGGATCCGCCCCACAGAGCCAAGCCTCTTGCCCAAACTAAAATGTCTTCCTCAACTAAGATATCTCCTTCCCTGCTCCAATATCTGTCTTTCCTCCATCTCAACTATCTCACTCGACCAAGCTCTTCCAAACCCACCCATTCTTCCCTCTCCCTTTCCTTCTATTCCCCATTATCATGCTCACAACTATTGCAGGGTGATCTTGTCTGCTTCCAATTTCCAGGTGGACCTTTATATGTTTTTCTATGGGTTCACCTTATTACATAGCTTCTCCAGGATCTTGAACTATAGGCTCAATGTCCTTTGTTTATTGCTAGAATCCACTAATAAGTGAGTACATACCATATTCATTTTTTGGATCTGAGTTATCTCACTCAGGCTAGTGTTTTCTACTTCCATCCAATAGCACGCAAAATTCAAGATGTTATCGGGTTTTTTTTGTTGTTGTTGTTGAAAATGCCTTCTTCTTTATTTTATTTATTTATTTATTTATTACAAATTTCCACCTCCTCCCATTTCCCTCCTACTCCTTCCACTCACTCTACCCCTTGCTCTCCAGTCTGAAGAGAAGTCAGGGTGCCCTGCCCTGTGGGAAGTTCAAGCCTCACCCCGATCCTGGTCTAGGAAGATGTGCATCTAAACAGACTAGGCTCCCAAAATGCCAGTACATGCAGTAGAATCAAAATCCGGTTTAATTATCATTGGCATCTCAGTCTGTCCTCATTGTCAGCCACATTCAGAAAGTTGGGTTTGATCTCATGCTCATTCAAATCCAGTCCAGCTGGCCTTGGTGAGCTCCCATTAGATCAGTCCCGCCATCTATGTGGGTGGATACACCCCTCGTCGGCCTGATTTCCTTGCTCACCTTCTGCTATTCATCTGGGCCTTGGGCGCTGAGTCCAGTGCTCCAATGTGCGTCTCTGTCTCGATCTCCATCCCTCGGCAGATGAAGTTTCTATGGTGATATGCAAGATATTTATCAGTGTGGCTATGGGAAAAGGCCAGTTAAGGTACCCTCTCCTCTGCTGCCCAAGGACCTAGCTGGCGAAATCCCCTTGGACACCTGTGAACCCCTCTAGAGCCAAGTCTCTTGCCAACCCTAAAATGGGTCCTTTAATTAAGATATCTTCTTCCATGCTCCCATATCCACCCTTCATCCATCTCAACCATCCCATCCCCCCAAGTTCTCCCCAATCCTCCCCCTTTAACCACCTCTCTCCTGATTTCCACTTCCCCCAACACACCCCCGCCACACTGCTCCCAACATTTATCTGGCAATCTTGTCTACTTCCAATATCTATGAGGATAAATATATGTTTTTCTTTGGGTATATCTTCTTATTTAGCTTATCTAGGATCAGGAACTATAGGCTCAATGTTGTTTGTTTATAGCTAAAATCTACTTACAAGTGAGTACATACCATATTCCTTTTTTGGGGACTGGGTTATCTCATTCAGGATAGTGTTTTCTAATTCCACCCATTTGCATGTGAAATTCAAGATGTCATTTTTTTTTTACCGCTGAGTAGAACACTAAATTCTATATGTGCCACACCTTCTTTATCCATTCTTCTATTGAGGGACCCCTAGGTTTTTTCCAGGTTCTGGAAATAGTACTGCTATGAAGATAGTTGAACAAATGCTTTTGTAGTATGATTGGGCATCTCTTGGGTATATTCCCAAGAGTGGAATTGCGGGATCCTGAGGTACATTGACTCTCAGTTATATGAGAAACCACCACAATGATTTCCAAAGTGGTTGCACAAGTTGGCATTCCCACCAGCAATGGAAGAGTGTTCCCCTTACTCCACAACCTCTCCAGAATAGGCTATCATTGGTGTTTTTGATTTTAGCCATTCTGATAGGTGTAAGATGGTATCTCAAAGTTGTTTTCATTTGCATTTCCCTGATCACTAAGGAGGTTGAGCATGACCTTAAGTGTCTTTTGGCCATTTGAACTTCTGTTGAGAATTTTCTATTTAGTACCCCTTTTTAATTGGGTTAATTAGAGTTTTAATGTCTAGTTTCTAGAGTTCTTTATATATTTTGGAGATCAGATCTTTGTCTGATGTGGGGTTGGTGAAGATCTCCTATTCAACGGGTTGCCTTTTTGTCTTAATGACAGTGTTGTTTGCATTACAGAAGCTTCTCAGTTTCAAGGGGTCCCACTTATTCACTGTGTTTTTATTGTCTGTGCTACTGGGGTTATATATAGGAAGTGATCCCCTATGCCCATGTGTTGCAGACTACTTCCTACTTTCTTTTCTATCAGCTTCAGTGTGGTCAGAATTATATTGAGGTCTTTAATCCATTTGTGATGTGGGAGGGTCTTCTTTTTTGAATTGATTTCATTGGTTAATAAAGAAACTTCCTTGGCCCTTTGATAGGACAGAAAATTAGGTAGGAGGAGTAAACAGAATAGAATGCTGGGAGGAAGTGAGGCAATTGCCGTGCTTCTCCTCTCTGGTCAGATGCGATGGAGCCAGCCAACAGGTCAGACATGTTGAATCTTCCCCAGTAAGACACCACTTCGTGGTGCTAAACAGATTATTAAAAATGGGTTAATCAAGATGTGAGAATTAGCTATTAAGAGGCTGGAACTATTGGGTCAGACACTGCTTAAAAGAATACAGTTTCTGTGTTAATATTTTGGGGCCTAAACTAGCCAGGTAACTTGGAGCCGGGTGGCAGGAATGCAGCCTGCAGCTCTTCTACACATTTGGACTTGAGTTTTGTGCATGGTGATAGATATGGATCTATTTTCTTTCTTCTACAGGTTGACATTAAGTTATGCCAGCACCACATGTTAAAGATGCTTTCTTTCTTCCATTGTATAATTTTAGTTCCTTTGATCAAAATCAGGTGTTCATAGGTTTGTAGATTACTATCCAGCTCTTCAATCCAATTCCATTGGTCAACGTCTCTGTTTTCTGCCAGTACCAAGGTGCTTTCATTACTGTAGCTCTGTAATAGAGTTTGAAGTCAGGGATGATAATGCCGCCAGAAGTATTTTTATTCTATAAGATTGTTTTGGCTATCCTGTTTTTTTGTTTTGTTTTGTTTTTCCACGTAAAGTTGATTATTGTTTTCTCAAGGTCTGTGAAGAATTTCGTTGAGATTTTGATGGAGATTGCATTGAATCTATAGATTGCTTTTGGTAGAGTTGCCATTTTTACTATGTTGATCCTCACAATCCAAGAGCATGAAAAAGCCTTCCATTTTCTGCTATCTTCTTTTTTAAAAAAAATTTATTTATTTATTATGTATACAATATTCTGTTTCTGTATATGTCTGCAGGCCAGAAGAGGGTACCAGACCCCATTACAGATGGTTGTGAGCCACCATGTGGTTGCCAGGAATTAAAGTCAGGACCTTTCGAAGAGCAGGCAATGGTCTTAACCACTAAGTCATCTCTCCAGCCCCTCTGGTATTTTTTTTTTTTTAATTTCCTTCTTCAAAGACTTAAAATTCTTGTCAAATAGATATTTAACTTCCTTGGTTAGAGTTACCCCAAGATATTTTATGTTTTTTGTAGCTATTGTGAAAGGTGATGATTCTCTAATTTCCCTCTCTGCTTCCTTATCTTTTGTGTATAGGAGGGCAAATGATTTTTGGAGTTGATCTTGTATCCTGCCACATTACTAAAGGTGTTTATCAGCTGTAGGAGTTCTTTGGTGGAGCTTTTGGGGTCGCTTATGTACACTATCATATCATCTGTAAATAACAAAAGTTCAATGTCTTCCTTTCCAATTTGAATCTTCTTGATCCCCTTATGTTGTCTTATTGCTATTGCTAGAACTTCAAGCACTATATTGAAGAGGTATGGAGAGAGTGGTCAGTCTTTTCTTGTTCCTTATTTTAGTAGAATGGCTTTGAGTTTCTCTCCATTTAATTTTATGTTAGCTCTTGGCTTGCTGTATATAGTTTTTATTATATTTAGGTATGACCCTTGTATCCCTAATCTCTCCAAGACCTTTATCATAAAGAGGTGTTGAATTCTGTCAAAGACTTTTTACCATCTAATGAAATGATCATATGTTTTTTATTCAGTTTATTTATATTATGGATTATATTGATAGATTTTCATATGTTGAACCAACCCTGTATCTCTGGGATGAAGCCTACTTGATCATAATGAATAAGTTTTTGGATGTGTTCTTGGATTCGGTTTGCCAGTATTTTATTGAGAATTTTCGCATCGATTTTCATAAGTGAGACTGGCCTTTAATTCTTTTTATTGATTTTTTGTGTTGTTTTAGTATCAGGCTAACCGTAGCTTCATAAAAGAAGTTTGGCAATGACTCTTCTGTTTCTATTTTGTGAAACACATTAAGGAGTATAGGTATTAGGTCTTCTTGTATGTTGTGGGAGAATTCTGCAATAAAACCACCTGGACCTGGGCTTTTTTTCGTTGGGAGGTTTTTTATGAGAGCTTCTAATGCCTTGTGACTTACAAGTTCATTTAAATTGTTCACCTGGTCTTGATTTAATTTTGGTATATGGTACTTATATATAAAATGTCCATTTCTTTTACATTTTCCAATTTTGTGGCATACAAGCTTTTGTGGTAAGATCTAATGATTCTCTGATTTCCCTTTGTGTGTGGTTATGTCCCCCTTTTCATTTCTGATCTTATTAATTTGCGTGTTCTCTCCCATTTGATTAGTTTGGATAGGGGTTTGTCAATCTTGTTGATTTTCTCCAAGAACCAGCTTTTGGTTTCATTGATACTTTGGATTGTTTTCTGTGTTTCTTTTTTGTTGATTTCAGCCCTCAGTTTGATTATTTCCAGTCTTCTACTCCTCCTGGGTGAATCTGCTTCTTTTTTCTTCTAGAGCTATCAGGTGGGCTGTTAAATCTCCAATGTGTTCTTTCTCCATAAAGAAATGGACATTTTTTTAGATAAATACTGTATACCAAAGTTAAACCAGGACCAGGTGAACAATCTAAATAGACCTGTTATTCACGAAAAATTAGAAGCTGTTATCAACAACCTCCCTACCAAAAAAAAAAAAAAAGCTCAGGACCAGATGGTTTCAATGAAGAATTCTACCATAACTTCCAAGAAGACCAAATAACTATACTCCATAATGTATTTCACAATATAGAAACAAAAGAGTCATTGCCAAATTCCTGTTATGAAGCTACAGTTACTCTGATACCAAAACCACACAAAGACTCAAACAAGAAAGAGAATTACAGGCCAATCTCACTCATGAACATCGATGCAAAAATTCTCAATAAAATGCTGGCAAACCAAATCCAGGAACACATTAGAAAACTCATCCATTATGATCAAGTAGGCTTCATCCCAGAGATGCAGGGCTGGTTCAACATACGAAAATCTATCAATGCAATCCATCATATAAATAAACTGAAAGAAAAAAAAAAACATATGATGGTTTCATTAGATGCTGAAAAAGCATTTGACAAAATTAAACAACCCTTTATGATATAAGCCCTGGAGAGTTTAGGGATACAAGGGTCATACCTAAATATAATAAAAGCTATTTACAGCAAGCTGACAGCTAACATCAAATTAAATGGAGAGAAACTCAAAGCCATCCCACTAAAATCAGGAACACGACAAGGCTGTCCACTCTCTCCATACCTCTTCAATATAGTGCTTGAAGTTTTAGCAATAGCAATAAGACAACATAAGGGGATCAAGGGGATTCGAATTGGAAAGGAAGAAGTTAAACTTTCATTATTTGCAGATGATATGATAGTATACATAAGTGACCCCAAAAGCTCCACCAAAGAACTCCTACATCTGATAAACAGCTTTAGTAATGTGGCAGTATACAAGATCAACTCCAAAAAATCAGTCACCCTCTTATACACAAAGGATATGGAAGCAGAGAGGGAAATCAGAGAAGCATCACCTTTCATGATAGCCACAAACAGCATAAAATATCTTGGGGTAACTCTAACCAAAGAAGTGAAAGATCTATTTGGCAATAACTTTAAGGCATTGAAGAAAGAAACTGAAGAAGATACCAGAAAATGGGAGAATCTCCCTTGCACTTGGATTGGGAGGATCAACCTAGTAAAAATGGCAATTCTACTAAAGGCAATTTATATATTCAATGCAATCCCCATCAAGATCAAATCAAAATTCTTCACAGATCTTGAGAGGACAATAATCAACTTTATATGGAAAAACAAAAAACCCAGGATAGCCAAAACAATAAAGGATCTTCTGGAGGCATTACCATCTCTGACTTCAAACTCTATTACAGAGCTACAGTAATGAAAACAGCGTGGTACTGGCATAAAAACAGAGAAGTCAACCAATGGAATCATATAGAAGACCTGGATTTTAACCAACAAACCTATGAACACGTGATTTTCAATAAAGGAGCTAAAAGTATACAATGGAATAAAGAAAGCATCTTCAAGTGTCGATTGCGTTTGGTGGGTTACTCAGTCTAGGGGTTTTTAACCCACCCTGCAATCAGTTATTCCAGGGTCTTGGAGGGGCACTACCTGGAAGGGAATGAGCTAGGACAGAAGAATGAGGCCAAGCATATCTGTCAAAGCCTCCGTTTATTAGGATCATAGTTGCTGCTTATATAGGCCCTGCCTGAGGACTTGGTGGGCAGGGCACAGGATCTCGCCGCGTGGTCCCGGTCATGTAGGCCAGGTTACGTTTGGTCAGGGGTCAGGTAGGCCAAGAAGTCATGAGTTGCCACACTTAGTTCCCTGGATAGCTGGAATGTGAGGCGCGTTCTGCTAACAGATAGCTCTCCATCAACAGCTTAATTGGGTGTGGGACAGGTTTTGTCAATAGAACGATTCTTAACATAATTATGGGTGTGGGGTTCTCTGTAGACTCCCCAGGGTGATGGTTCCTGTAATGATTTTTAGGGGGGAAATGGCTCGAGACATTCAACAAATGGTGCTGGCACAGCTGGATGTCAACCTGTAGAAGAATGAAAATAAACCCATATCTATCACCATGCACAAAACTCAAGTCCAAATGGATCAAAGACCTCAATATCAATCTGAACACTCTGAACCTGACAGAAGAGAAAGTGGGAAGTACCCTACAGCATATGGGCACAGGAGATTGCTTCCTGTGTATAACCCCAGCAGTACAGACATTAAGGGCAACATTGAATAAATGGGACCTACTGAAACTGAGAAGCTTCTGTAAAGCAAAGGACATTGTCACTAAGACAAAATGGCAACCCACTGACTGGGAGAAGATCTTCACCAACCCCGCAACTGACAAAGGTCTGATGTCCAAAATATATACAAAAACTCAAGAAACTAGTCTTTAAAATGATAATTAACCCAATTAAAAAATGGGGCGCTGAACTGAACAGAGTATTCTCAACAGAAGAAGTTCAAATGGCCAAAAGACACTTAAGGTTATGCTCAACCTCATTAGTGATCAGGGAAATGCAAATCAAAACAATTTTGAGATAGCATCTTACACCTGTCTGAATGGTTAAAATAAAAAACACCCATGATAGCTTTTGCTGAATACGTTGTGTAGGAAAGGGTACCCTCATCCATTGCTGATGGGAATGCTAACTTGTGCAACCACTTTGGAAATCATTGTGGTGGTTTCTCAGGAAATTAGGGATCAACGTACCCCAGGAACCAGCAATACCACTCTTGGGAATATACCCAAGAGATTCCCTATCATATGACAAAAGCATTTGTTCAACTCTGTTAATAGCAGCATTGTTTGTAATAGCCAGAACCTGGAAACAACCTAGATTTCCTTCAATGGAAGAATGGATGAAGAATGTGTGGAATATATACACATTAGAGTACTACACTGTGGTAAAAAACAATGACTTCTCAAATTTTGCATGCAAATGGATGGAAATAGAAAACACTATCCTGAGTGGGGTAACCCAGACCCAAAAAGATGAACATGGGATGTACTCACTCATAATTGGTTTCTAGAGATAAATAAAGTTCACTGAGTCTATAATTTGTGATCCTAAAGAAGCTAAATAATAAGGTGAACCCAAAGAAAAACATAATTACCCTCTTGACTATGGGAAGTAGACAAGATTGCCGGGTGGGGTCGTATGAGGGTATGGGGATATGCGGAGAAAAATGTGAAAAGGGGAGAATGGTGGGAACTTGGGGAAATGGGATGATTGGGATATAGGAGGGTTGAAGAGGGGAGCAGGGAAGCACATATCTTTGGTAAGGGAGCCACCTTAGGGTTGGTAAGAGACATGAACCTGAATGGCATCCAAGTGCCCAGGGCGAGGTCCCCAGCTAGTTCCTTGGGCAACTGAGGATAGGGAACCTGAAATGACCCAATCCTATAGCCATACTGATGAATATCTTGCATATCACCATAGAACCTTCATCTGGCGATGGATGGAGATAGATACAGAGACCCACATTGGAGCACTGGACTGAGCTCCCAAGGTCCCAATGAGGAGCAGAAGAAAGGAGAACATGAGCAAGAATGTCAGGACCACGAGGGGTCCACCCACCCACTGAGACAGTGGGGCTGATCTATTGGGAGCTCACCAAGGCCAGCTGGACTGTGACTGAAAAAGCATGGGATAAAACCAGACTCTGTGAACATGGCGGACAATGAGGGCTGATGAGAAGCCAAGGACAATGGCATGGGGTTTTGATCCTACTTCATGTACTGGCTTTGTGGGAGCCTAGCCAGTTTGGATGTTCACCTTCCTACACCTGGGTGGAGGGGGGAGGACCTTGGACTTTCTACTGGGCAGGGAACCCTGACTGCTCTTCAGAGTGTAGAGGGAGGGGGAGGGAGTGGGGGGAGGGGGAGATGGGCGGGAGGAGTGGGAGGAAAATGGGAGGCTGGGAGGAGGGGGAATTTTTTTTTTCATAAAAAAAAGAAGTCAGTGTGGCAGTTTCTCCAGAAATTGGGAGTCAACCTACCTCAGGGTCCACCAATACCACTCTTGGAATATACCCAAGAGATGCCCAATCATACTACAAAAGCATTTGTTCAACTGTATTCATAGCAGCACTATTTGTAATAGTCAGAACCTGGAAACAACCTAGATGCTACTCAATGGAAGAATGGATAAAGAAAATGTGGAGCATATACACATTTGTCTACTACTCAGAGAAAAAAAAAACAATGACATCTTGCATTCAAATGGATTGAGTTAGAAAACACTATCCTTAGTGAGATAACCCATACCCAAAAAGATGAATATGGTATGTCCTCACTCCTTAGTGGACTCTAGCCCTAAACAAAGGACATTGAGCCTATAGTTCATAAGCCTAGAGAAGCCAAATAATAAAGCAAGACCAAAGAATATCATATATTTATCCTCCTGAAAGTGGAAGCAGACAAGATCACTGGGCAAAAGTTAGGAGCATGAGGTTAGGGGTGGGGGTAGCATGAGAGGAAGGGGAGAATGGGAAGAGAGAAGGGAGAAGTGAAGGATTGGGGAGAGCTTGGAGAAGTGGGAGGGTTGAGATGGAAATAGCAGCAGGGAAGAAGTTATCTTTATTAAGGGAGCCATTTTAAGGTTGGCTAGGTACTTGGATCTTAGAGGGGATCCCAGGTATCCATGATGATGTCCCCAGCTTGGTCTTTGGGCAGCAGAGGAATGGGTACCTGACCTGGCCTTGTCCCATAGTCACATTGATGAATATTTCGAATATCACCAAAGAACTTTGTCCGGTGATGAATGGAGATAGAGAGAGATACTCACATAAGGGCAGTGGACTGAGCTCCCAAGGTCCTGTTGAAGAGAGGAGGGAGAATATGAGCAAGGAAGTCAGGACTGGGAGGGGTTTTTCCACCCACTGATAGAGTGGGCCTAATCTAATGGGAGCTCTCCATATTCAGCTGAACTGGTACTGAATGAGCATGTGATCAAACTGGACTCTCTAAATTTGGCTGACAATGGGGGCTGACTGAGAAGCCATTGACAATCATGTCTATTTCCATTATCCAGAAGGATAACTATATGTTTTTCTTCGGGTTCATCTTATTTAGCTCCTCTAGGATCACAAATTATAGGCTCAATGTCCTTTATTTATGGCTAGAATCCACTTATGAGTGAGTACATACCATATTCATCTTTTTGGGCCTGGGTTACTTCACTCAGGATAGTATTTTATATTTCTATCCATTTGCATGCAAAATTCAAGATGTCACTGTTTTTTACCACTGAGTAGTACTCTAGTGCATATATATTCCACACTTTCTTTGTCCATTCTTCCATTGAGGGGCATCTAGGTTGATTCCTGGTTCTGGCTATTACAAATAACACTGTTATCAACATACTTGAACCATTGCTTTAGTAGTATGATAGGGCATCTCTTGGGCATATTTCTAAGAGTGGTATTGTTGGATCCTGGGGTACATTGATCCCAAATTTCCTGAGAAACTGCCACACTGCTTTCCAAAATGGCTGCACAAGTTTGCATTCCCACCAGCAAGGGATGAGTGTTCCCCTTACACCACATCCTCTCCAAAAAAGCCTATATCATTGGTATTTTTGATTTTAGCCATTCTGAGAGGTGTAAGATGCTATCTCAAAGTTGTTTTGATTTGCATTTCCCTGATCACTAAGGAGGTTGAGCATGACCTTAAGTGTCTTTTGGCCATTTGAACTTCTTCTGTTGAGCATTCTCTGTGCAGTTCAGTGCCCCATGTTTTTAATTGGGTTAATTATCATTTTTAAGTCTAGTTTCTTGAGTTCTTTATATATTTTGGACATCAGACCTTTGTCTAATGCGGGGTTGGTGAAGATCTTCTCCCAGTCAGTAGGGGTTGCCTTTTTGTCTTAATGACAGTGTCCTTTGCTTTACAAGGTAAGGGGAGATGGGGAGAGAAAGGTGAGAAGGGGAGGGTGGGGAGAGCTTGGGTGAATGGGATGGTTGGAATAGAGGAAGGTTGGATATGGGAGCAGGGAAGTAGATATCTTAATTAATGGAGCCATTTTAGGGTTGGCAAGAGACTTGACTATAGAGGCATTCCCAGTTGTCCAAGGAGATGTCCCCAGCTAGTTCCTTGGACAGCTGAAGAGAGGGAGCCTGAAATGGCCTTATCCTATATCCAAACTGATGAATATCTTGCATATCACCATAGAAGCTTCACCTGGCGATGGATGGAGATAGAGACAGAGACCCATATTGGCGCACTGGACTGAGTTCCCAAGATCCAAATGAAGAGTAGAAAGAAGGAGAACATTGGCAGGGAAGTCAGGACCACAAGGGGTTGTTGAGATTAGAGTAGCAGGGCTGTGTCCCCGGCACCCGGCCGCCCGCATGGCTAGGTTATGCCCCGAAATAATTACACGGAACCTGTATTTTTTAAACACTGCCTGGCCCGTTATCTGTGGCCTCTTATTGGCTAGCTCTTACATATTAATCTAACCCATTTCTAATATTCTGTGTAGCACCACGAGTTGGCTTACCAGGAAAGATCTTAACCTGCATCTGTCTGGAGTGGTAGAATCATGGTGACTCCTGACTAAGCTTCTTTCTCCCAGCATTCTCTTCTGTTTACTCCACCCACTTATGTTCTAACCAATAAAATGGGCCAAGGCAGTTTCTTTATTATAATTAACCAATGGCCTTCCTCCATCATTTCCCCTTTTTCTGTTTAAACCAAAAAAAGAAGGCTTTAACTTAACATAGCAAAATTACATATAACAAAACAGTTATCAAGCAAGAATTACAGTTACAATATTTATATCTATTTGATCTTTTATCATAACTAAGGAAAACTATAACTATCTATTCATTCTTCAACTCCATCAAAGACTCCAGAAGGATATAATATTATCTAAGCAAACAAGAAATAAACAACAGAGGCATCTCGCTGCCTGGACAGTCACCCAAAGTTCCTCTGTACTGTTGGGGCATCCATCTTCGGCCTTCAGGCCCATAGTATCCAGAGACATTTCCATGAAGCAGGAAAATTCAAAGACAGTTCAGTCACTTTCTGCTGTGTCCTGCAGAATGTCTCGTGAATTCTTTTATGAAGCAGGAACCCCGAAAGACCATCTCACCTTTAGGCAAGTTCAGCAGTCCTCTCTCTGCGGGTTTTCTGTGTCTAGTTTATGCAACAGTCCAGGCAAGACCAGTTTCTTGCCCAAATGGCTATCAAATTCCATAAGGATCCTCTTTGATGCCCATTTTCCTCTTGAAGTAGATTGGTGCTGCCAGGAACAGACGTGTCTCATTGTCATGAAAAGCCCTAAGTTATTAAAATATTTTAAATACCATATTCTGCAGTCTTTGAAAGATATGAAGAATGCCTATCTAACTGAAATATATCTCTATATATCTAGAAAATCTAA